ACTAAATGTTGGAGAATGGGACTTGGAGACTTTGATGAAAGATGTTCCCCCCTTTCCTTTCCCTGATTTCCAGAGCTCCATATAATTAATTATAATATAATGTATGTATGTACGTATTTATTTGAGCAGATTTTAGAAAGAAACATCTCAAGGAATATTATTGAGACTGATGTAGAAAGCGATGCCAAGTGGAGAGAGAAAATATGTTAGATAGAGATTACTATAACATTGTGGTAAAAAGATATAAATAATAAAACTTAATTAATTTATGCCTTCGAAAGGAAGCATTGCATGCATATAACTTCATTAATAGAAATGGAATGTTTTATTAATAAACATATAAATAAAATATCTAAAATATATGATATAATTTAAAAAATTTATGAGATGGTTGTCTCGACCACCATCCCGGTTCATCGCTATTTGGTCACTTAGTTAAACTAAGCTAACGGTTGACGGGTCCATTTCTATAATAACTACTTCGGGAAGTCTTAGTTAGCTTTGACTTCAATTGTCGATTTGTATCATTTTGCATTGTATAATTTGTTAGTTAACTTAGCTAGCCGTTAATGGTTGGCCCTCTAGTTGTAAAATTAATTATAAAGGTGGTGATAGTTCTCATTGATATCCCCAACTAGAGATGAGAATAGTATGAAATGATAAAGGTTTATTATTTTAAAATTTAAAGTTTAACTCCTAAAATGATTTTAATGGTAAAAGATAATGTTATCTCCTAAAAGACTCTAGGTTTAAATAACTATATTTGTAGGATGTATATTACCGATTAGTTAAAAAATTTTGAATATGTACTACCTTATAATCACATATTATTATAAAAATGAATTTTTTTTATATTTTTAATTTTAATACTTGATACCTTTCTATTATACTATTTAATTTAGAAAAATTGGTCCCTTCTTTAATTTTCTTTTCAATATTATCATTAATTATCATATAATTATAAAATAAAAACTAAGTCTCGTGAACTTATATTTTATAATCAACTTAGGGCAAGTTGGGTATAGCTTTTAAAAAGTGAATTTTAAAAGTGCTATAAAAACAAACTTTTAAAAGTGTTGTACACAAGTGCAATTTAAAATTTAATTGTTTGAGATTTCTGTTTGAGATCGTTGTTAAAAGTGAATTTGAAAAGATAAAATGTTCATCATAGACATTATGTTGTAAATTTAAAAAATATAGCATTCAAATTATAGTTACACTTATAAATAAATCATATCATTTTAAACTATAATGGATTCGAAAAATATATTATAATATATGAATTATATCAATTTAAATATAATAAAAATATAAAAAGTACAAATAAAAATATAATTATAATAAAACTATATTCTATGTAATTCACTATTAGTTTTTCAATATATAAATCATGAATTTAAATAATGAATTTTATTTATCTTTAAATAATTAAAATAAATTATTAAAGGGTAAACTACATGAATGACTACATAACTAAGGTATGGGATTCAAAATGATTACTGTTTTCAAAATTGTAGTAGTTTTACCACTGTACTATTTAAATGAAGCCAAAAAGACCACTAGTTGTTAGAAACAAAACGGCGAGACTGACGTGGATTTTTTTAAAAAAATTATTCCACGTTGGTTTTAATAAACCTCCACGTCAGAATACAACATAGACAAAATGAAAAAATCATGTGGAAAATTTAGGCATTTAAAGGAACCGTGGATTTTTCATCTTAGTATTTCATCCATTCTTTCTTATCATTTTGTGGAGAGGAAGAAAATCCAAAGGGGTTGTAGACGGCAATGGATGCAAATTTGGCTCGGGTGTGATTCTATGGAACTCGTTCTACGCTAACAACAGGTTGGACTGATGAAATTTAAGGTAGGAGATTTTGGGTTGTGGAAAATATGAAAAAGGGGTAAAGGGTTGTAAATTTTTTTGATGGTATGATCCACCGGTGAACCATAGATCAAAAGTGGTTATTGTTGGTCTTCTTAGAAGGGTTGTTGCTATGGATAAAGAAAGGAAGAAAGAAAGAGTTCTTGTATTTTTCTTCTGGGTACTGTGCTTTTGTTGGGTTTCATTTTGGGAGCAATCTTCTATTAATATGGTGGGAATGTGGTGGTTGTTGCTTGAGATTTAGAGTGCTGAAAATTTTCTTTTTCAAATGGAATGTTTGTTACCTAGGTTTTTGTAATTTAAAGGGTGATGTGTTTGATGTTATGTCACCAATTTCCATAAAAAATTAATTCGGAATATGTAATAAAAATATCTTTTCATATTAAGTTGTTGTTGTTAAATAAGAATATGAAATATGTAATGGTAAAGTAATAATGTCAGTGAATAAGAATATGAATTAAGAAAGTTGAAAAACACAAAAATACTTCATATCATAAATCCTTTAAGTTTGAAATGTAATCCATACATCACATAATGTTTAACCAATACATAATCACATCTTTAACTTTGAAATGTAATCCATACATCACATTTAGTCTGTGAAACATCAAAATAGTGACCAACTAAAGTAAGTCAAACAAAAAAACTTGTTTGGTCAATACAAAAAAATGAACCAACTGCTAAATATTGGTATCAACAGGGTCAAGGATGATCAATCCTTGGAGATGATTGGGTGTCACAACTCTCCTAACTCATATGTATGGAAGGGGTGGGCATCCATCTTATAACATAGCCTTGCGAAGATTGAGAAGGTTGAGTTGTTGTTAGAGTTGCCCTTAGGGAAATTATATATGATAATAAAGTCGTTTGTTGTTTTGTGATAATAACATTTTTCATGATCATGAAAATTGTCATAATATAATAAAATAACAATAATAACATAATTTTTTTTTGTTAATATCGATTTTTAAAAGAAAAGTTCAAAATTTTCTTTCATAATTATAATTATTATATTTTATAGAAAAGTGTATGAATTATAAAAGCCTTGGTCATAATAAATATATAACATCTATTATATTTTCGATTATAATAAACATAACACGATGAAAAATATAACCACAAACACATTTAAATCCGTAGCTAGACGATCAAACAGCCTAACGCAGTTAAACAACAAAATTTATTGAAATAAAAACCATTTGTGTGAGAATTCATACCGAAACAGAGAGAGGATCATGAAATAGAAGATATCTAACAAACTATAATAATTTAGGATAGTTAACTTTACAAGGCTTCGTTTTAGTGTAGTTGATTAGGATACTCGGCTTTCACCCGAGAGACCCGGCGGTGGAATTTATACGCGGAGTTTTAACTTTGGGCTACTTCTAATATGCTTGATGGGTCCAAAAATAGGGCATCACTTCTTCTCGGTTGAGCTGAGCTGAGCCGAGTTTGAAGCCCAGACCCATGCGCAATTTTCTTTTTTTAATCAGATCTCGACTTAATTCATAAACATTTCTATTTGAAAATGCAGTCAAGGACATCCGGCTGTTAGTGAATCATTTTTTTTTCAATCGACTATACATGAACGTGTTATAGATGAAGCTCGGAATCTCCTCAAGCAATATGACACAAATAATAAATTTGAATTCGGGTTTTACTCGACCAATATGTACTTGTTACATTTCATATAAAAAATGAAGAAAAACTCAAAGATTATTGTTTAGTTATTCAACGTAAACCAATTTTGCAATGTAGAATTATGTGATAGAAATCCCCTCGAATTGAAGTATGATGGAAGTGAGGCTCAAAATTTGTGTTGGAGGAGAGGAATTGATGGAAGTGTTGAGTGAGAAGGCAATGTTAGATTAGATAATATCCTCTGGGCTGTGTGTTCCCGTAGCCACATAAAACCCGACTCTTGGCCTTTCAGAAGAGTCACTGCGGAACTCAGCCACCTTGCCATTACGAAGAAGAAGACGACTGCCCTCAAGATTTTCTTTTTCCTAGCAAAATGGCTCTTCCTATCCTATGTATAATTATGTTATTAATCTATAAATTCAAATTAAAATAATTTTCCATGTTGCTATCACTAACTCGGCAACAATGGGCTCCACCGCCCACACATCACATGCTGAAACTAAGGGTGTGCAAAATTTCCCGACCCGGTTAATTCGACCTGCCGACCCGTCGACCCGGATCTAAAAAAACCGGATAATTCTCTAAAAAAAAATTACTCGGCCGGGTCGGGTACCCGGCCCGACATTTCCCGGGTCAGGCCCGGGTCACAAAATCTAGTTTTTTCAGGTATCCGGTTACCCGAGTACCCGATTAGTTTTTATTTTTTTTTTATTTTTTATATATAATTATATAAAATATAATGAATTATTTATATTATGATTATTATATTTTGTATTTCGAACTTTTAAATTTTATGTTCGGATATTAGAGTATGTAATTCGAAGTTTCGAACATTTAAATTTGTGTATATATTTTTTAAAATTAATAATTTGAAAATAAAAAATTAAAAACCGGGTATCGGGTACCCGATTACCGGATACCCGCAAAATCTAAGTACCCGTAACATCCGGGTTAAGACACGAATCGAGAAATCATCGATCCGAAAATTCCGGATACCCAAAAATTCGGGTACCCGAATTTGCACACCCCGGAGCTACACTTGCCGTTTTCTTCTGAATTGCTGTGGCTCTTGTTCTGCCACTTGAGGGCTTCCTCGTCATTTCCCTCCTCCCTCATTTCCGTCCCTTCATACGATATGCCCAGGCCAACATAACTTCAACACTCCCCTAGTGTTCAGTGCTCTACTGTCAGTCACCCAGCGCAGAAAAATCCACCCCAATCATACTACGCCACGTGGAAATCTTTCTTCACTCTGACCTCAATCATACTATGCCACGTGGAGTCTCTCCTCTCATTGATCCACTTACTCCCCCACGTCATTAGGAGGCACCGCTCCATCCAATAAATGAACGACACGTACGGACTTGGAAAATATGCATAACCATAGAAAAATTTGGAACCTCCTTGTAGACCCAGACGCGCATCACTGTCATTTTCTGTTATATGGAATAAACTATAAAGTTCCCACCTCAAAAGCCAACCATATATTCCTAAACCTCGCATCCACCGTCTGATTAAAATCAAACGGCCAGATTTAACCCTCTCCCTCGTTCACCCTTTTTAAATATTAATCTCCGCCTCTTCCTCCATTTATCGTTTCTCTTCTCCGCCGTCGACGCTACCGTTTCAAAGATGGCGTCCGCCGCACTCACCTCCTCCTGCCCTCTAGGCCATTCCCGTGTCAAATCAATCTCTTTCTCTTCCAGATCATGTCTGAACCCGGTTTTTTCCCCTTCGGTTCTCTCCAAATCCACTCCGAACAATTCCAGCTTGATTAAAACTTTGAGTCTCACTCCAATCATTTCTACTAACAGAATCCAGAAAAGTCACCGGAAATTAACAGTCAAAGCAGCGGCATCAAGTCCAGCTGCCACTACCCCGCCGCCGCAGCAACCATGGCAAGGTGCAGCAATGAAGCCATTGTTGGCGTCGATTGCTACAGGTGTCATCCTATGGTTCCTTCCCGTCCCATCCGGTGTCTCCCGTAATGCGTGGCAACTACTTTCCATTTTCTTAGCTACAATCGTTGGCATCATCACTCAACCATTGCCACTAGGAGCAGTGGCATTACTCGGACTCGGCGCTTCTGTCCTAACCAAAACCCTAACCTTCTCTGCTGCCTTCTCCGCTTTTGGCGATCCCATTCCTTGGCTCATCGCTCTCGCCTTCTTCTTCGCCCGCGGCTTCATCAAGACTGGACTTGGTAACAGAATAGCTTACCAATTCGTTTCCCTATTCGGATCCTCCTCTTTAGGTTTAGGTTACAGCTTAGTCTTCAGCGAAGCTCTACTAGCGCCAGCAATTCCGTCCGTATCGGCACGCGCAGGAGGAATTTTCCTCCCTTTAGTCAAATCTCTCTGCGTAGCGTGTGGAAGCAACGTGGGTGACGGGACGGAAAATAGATTAGGATCCTGGTTAATGCTGACATGTTTCCAGACTTCCGTTATTTCTTCTTCCATGTTTTTAACAGCAATGGCGGCGAATCCTTTAAGTGCTAATTTAGCTTTCAATACCATTAAACAGCAGATTGGATGGACGGATTGGGCTAAGGCGGCAATCGTGCCGGGTTTAGTTTCGTTGCTTGTTGTGCCTTTGATCTTGTATGTTATTTATCCACCATCGGTGAAGACTAGTCCCGATGCGCCAAGGCTTGCTAAGGAGAAGCTGGAGAAAATGGGACCGATGACCAAGAATGAGATTATCATGGCTGGGACTCTGTTTCTAACTGTATAATATTATTAATTACCCTTTGATTAATTATGAATATGGTTATTGTGTCTTGTTTATGTCTAATGCTTATAAAACTTGAGTAGTATGTTTTGTCCGCTATCACAAATCTATCAAGTTGAAATGTCGCACTGGAAAAATAATTGTAGGGGACCGTATTGGTATGTGATCACGGTTTTAGCCACATTTTAGTTGGAGAGAAGAGACATAATTTTGTGCCATCGTTTAAAGTAGTTAATCTAGTTTAATTATCAATAGGTGTCGAGTTTTAGGTGTTGATTGTGGTACTTGTTTTGTTGGATTCTACATATAGTTTTCAAGCTTGACCTTAAGGAACTGGCACGTTGCAGTTGCTTTTTAACTTGTCTTTCCTTGCAGAGCTACACTTAGAAAGTATTGGGTAGATTAATTTGGTGAATTAATATGGAATACTTCTGAAGATTGTTAGCTATATGTAGGATTTTGAGGAAATACTGCAATCTATCGGGTTTTCCATTTGTTATGTAGCTGGATTCAAACCTCCCGTTATCAAGACTGTGATTGCATTGCAGAAAGCAATGCTGCAATTTCATTAGCTGCAATTTCATTATTTATTTGAATCCTGTATTTCATTCACCTTTATATTCTTCAGCAATAACTAGATTGCTCTTAACTGATGAATAGAATTTTAATGCTATTTATGGTTGTATTTCTTTGTGCTCTCATTTGATGCAACTCTTTACTGTGCATATGATGGAAAGAGTAATAGTAGCTGCGGCTACCAATGAATGTAAAAGCTACACATGCGAGAGCTTGTATATTCCAATGAGTTTTCACATACCTTCCTCTGTTGCATTAGGTGGGGCTCTGGATTTTTGGAGGGATGTTAAATGTGGATGCTGTTACTGCTGCCATTCTTGGGTTATCTATCCTACTTGTGACGGGGGTAGTCACATGGAAGGAGTGTCTCGCTGAATCAGTTGCATGGGATACACTTACATGGTTTGCTGCACTCATTGCTATGGCTGGGTATTTGAACAAATATGGTCTCATCGCATGGTTTAGTCAAACTGTTGTTAAGGTTTGTTCCGTTTTCCTTTTACTCTTATTTTATTTTCTTTCGGTCATGTGCATGTTACTATTACTTCGTACCGAATCACCTAAGTACCATCGCCTTAATCTATATCCAGTCCTTCGCTTTTTGCTGAAATATAGTTGGTATCACTTCATGCTTTCCTCGAAATGAAAAAACAGAAAACAGTTGGCAATTTATAATTCTTTTAAAAGAATGCAAAATGTTGAAATACTTGTGCTTTACACTGTAATATATCTAAATAGTTTAGTATCTTCCTCTGCTGTTTTTTCAGGTTGTCGGTGGGTTAGGTCTTTCATGGCAAATGTCGTTTGGCATTCTGGTTCTTCTCTATTTCTACTCGCATTACTTCTTTGCCAGCGGAGCCGCTCATATCGGTGCCATGTTTACAGCCTTCTTGTCCGTGGCTAGTGCTTTGGGCACTCCATCGTATTTGGGAGCCCTTGTTCTATCATTCCTCTCCAACCTCATGGGTGGCATCACTCATTATGGCATTGGATCTGCACCCGTTTTCTTTGGGGCTGGCTATGTACCACTAGCCAAATGGTGGGGTTATGGTTTCCTAATATCTGTTGTGAATCTTATTATCTGGCTCGGAGTAGGAGGCATCTGGTGGAAGGCTCTCGGCTTGTGGTAATAAAATTTGCAAATACACTTGAGGTAGAATAATACCTCACCTAACTTTGCAGATCGCAGTTTCTTCTTCACGTCGAAAGCAGCTTTGTCTTTGATTCTTTAACTTTCAGAAATAACCTTTTATGTCAGGGTTTAGAGGGGTCGAAAATGAATATATATATATATATATCTGAGTTCGAGGTCCACAAAATAGAGCAAAAAAATAGATCTTTACCACAAATTTTGCATTTGATAATATTGTTTTGAATGTGAATTTTTGGTTTTATCATTATCTGAAGCACTGCGACAGTTTTTGTGTTCCTCATAACCTCACATGAACATCCTACTTTGGCTTTTTGTTAAAAAAATATTTTTTACTACAAATTATCTTCATATCTTTAATTTAAACCTATGTTGATTTGATTTCCCATGAATAGAAAGGTCCACCACTTACCACCAACGTTGGCCAGCATTGACCGTCGTCAATAAATATTAGAACCTAAAATTTTCAGTACACCTTTTATTTATTCTCGTACACAAAAATTTGATGTATGTTCAACTAGAAAATACTTCGATGTAAAATTGATTTATAGAAATTTAAGTCTAGATATTTTTCGGTGAAACGAGCACATGATTCACATTCAGGAGGTAAAAAAAGAGTGGATTGAAATTTTTAAAGTTCAACTACTATCAACAATGACAACTAATGGTGGTCGATTACAATAACGTTAAATGGTGACCGATAACAGGGATTTAGATAGAATTCTAGGTCAAATTGATATATCATCTTAAATTTAGAGGTGAATTAGAAATTAACAATTTTATTAATATGTCACGCTATCAAAGTAACAAGAGTTAACTACTCAATAATCAAAATATGACAAATGAACAATATAATTAACTTAAACATATATATTTTTAAAATTGATGATAAAACTAGATAAAATTGAAACAAATGTGAGTAAACTTGTAGCTTACCCAAATATAAAATATTATGTTATAAAAAAGATATTATAATTATTATCAAGTGACCTCATAATTATGAGGCCCACACCATGTTGTAAGTGAAGCCCTTTTTTATTACAAGAAATGAAACCCACCAAATTTTAAGAGAGGAGAAAACCCTCCATTATTAGTGGCTCTCACCATCATCTCATGTCGTGAACTATCATCGTCCATCACCCTAAACTTTTATGCATCAACAATAATTATTTTTTTTAAATTAAACCACTAATTTTAAGTGATGTCAGTTCTTGATTTCCTTGTAAAAATTATATATATATTAAAAAATTGAAAAATGAAATAAAAAACAAAGGGTCAGTTAAATAATAATAGAGATGCTCCCCTTTAAGATTACGTGATCTTTTAAAGTAAAGAAGAGGATAATGTGACTGTAAAGGAAGCAGTGAAGGTCAATTTTGGTCTAATATGGAATCTTAGTTTGGAAAGTTAAATTAGAAAGAAAGAGATGTCGTCTATCATTTAATTTAATATTGCACAAAAATGGTAGTTGAGAAGACTCCACTATGCCCATATGATCATGCCAATTTTTAACCTTTACATAAATAATGTACCATTTCAATAAATATTTAAGTTGTTGAATTCTTAAAAATTAAAATAAAAAATTTTATATAATATATATTAAAGATTAATTTATTATTATGTTAATTAAAATTTCTTTTTTTTAAAAAATAGTAATGTCATAATTAATTATTTTGAATTTATTTAAATAAAATATTCCTTTTTTTAATACCAATTTACTTAATTTTAATTGAGAGACTTAATAAATTATTTTACATGATGGCTTTTCATATAGAATAAAAATACAAAAATTCTTAAATTTATGTAATATCGTAATTAATTTATTAAAAAATTATATATTTATAATAAATAAAATAGTGTAATATATATTATTATGGAGTTAGAATTTCGTTTGATTGAAATGACAATCCAGCTCAGTTGGTAGAGCACAAGGTTCTTAACCTTGAGGTCGTGGGATCGAGTCCCACGGAGAGCATTTCATAATTTGGAGGTCTCCCACGAAAGCTGTTCTCAACCTGGTGTTGGGGTAGCTTACTATCTTACCTCCCCCTTACCCCATTACATATGGGAATAAGGGTCAGCTAATTTTTTAATTTCGTTTGATTATTGGTGTGGCCATAAACGATAAAATTACATTAGACGCAATTTACCCTTACTTCTACTACTTTTGTCACACATTTATTTCGTACCTATTTCTATGCTCACGGTTCCCTCACTTGCATCGCACAACAGCGTCTCAAAAGCACTAAACCAGAAACAAACAAGGGGCTTAAAGGAAAAAGGGTTCTTGCATGTGTCAGCATAATTTGGCATGATCTTATCACTTGCAATAATAATTTGTTCTTTAATAACGAGTGTTTTCATTCATTCTCTGCATGAAACAGTGGGCCACTTGCCCATTGCAGAGGATTCTAATGCATATGGCTGTTACTTTCTTCTTCATGAATCCGATACTGCCAGTTCCAGGATTTCTAGTATTCTAATTCTTTCCAAGATCACTTGTGTCTTCTTCTCCACCAGACGAAATACATCCTTCTAAATTAGTTGTTCAAGTTTTTTCTCTCTCTCTCCCTTTCTTTTTCCTGTTTTAAGTCTATTTAAGTGACACTGTCTTCCGAGTGTTAACTCAGGTAGGTGGTGAGTTGATGAACACCTTTGGTCATTTGAGGTTTTCAAAGTCCAAATTCTTTTTGACAGTTTCACATTAGTACGGTGTTTCTTCTGGGCGTTGTATTAGGTAAAACAATATACGGTTCTTTCTATTATTATGGAAAATTGCATAAACAATATAACTGACTAGGGTTCTTTAATTTATTATATAAATTAGGCTCCCCAGGTGTTCAACAATTTATAATCTTTTAGGCGATAGAATCAGGCTGAGGGACTCAGTTCTACGAAGAAGATGAGCTATATCCATCTAGTGTTAAGATGAGATTTCCCGTTTTCATTCTCTTCAAGGATATCAGGCAGGTTTCCCAGAATTTGCTTTGCATGCATTTATAATCAGATTTATCTCTGGAGAAGTTTCCCTTAACAGATATTAACAAAGGATTAATGTGTGATATTCTGCAATTATATGAGCAGACATGTTTTTAAACTCGACCAGCTCGGATAGGAGATAGCACAAATTGCTTTGCCTGCAGCGCTTGCTTTGACAGCTGACCCTATTGCTTCTCTGGTTGATACTGCATTTATTGGCCAAATAGGTATTTTTTTTTTCATTCTTTACGTCTCAAATACGCCTGCAGTTTCTTTTCGGTTTATCTTCTGGTTCATGTAGGTTCTGTGGAACTCGCTGCTGTAGGAGTTTCTATTGCCTTGTTCAATCAAGTGTCGAGAGTTGCGATATTCCCGCTCGTTAGCGTCACGACATCGTTTGTGGCCAAGGAAGATGTGACCGGAAGAGTGGATTTGTTGGGAAATAAAAAAAAAACCGAGTAATTTCCCTATAATCATATTAGTGATAATTCGAAATAAAAGTAAAAAAATAATACCCGAAATTGATAATGGAGTTCATCCAATTGTGTTTACGTCTCCGGACTGCTGCAGATCTTTTACTAAAGAGATAAAATTTACAGGTGTTTACAAAACACTCACAATTCACAAGAAAACTCTCTAAACTCTTTAGTGTTGGGAGAAAGAAATGATTTGGGATAATTTTGAAGCTAAATGAGCTAGAGTATTTATAGTTGAATCTTATAGACTAATCTTGTAAATACCCTAAAGTGCAATGACTAATTGTATGATTTAACCATTATAAAAAAATCAACAATATCAGCCCCTTTTGACTTTCCCATTTTCGGTGCCAAACATTTGTTGAAAACCAATTTTACGGTGCCAAACATTTGTCTTGACTTTTCAACTTCAACAATCTCCCACTTGAAGACTGATTTTAATCTGTCTTCACACCTCGATCAATGCAACAACATTTCTAGTCTTGTTATTCTAGCATGCCAACTCAAGCTGGACACAACTTCAGTTTGTCCGTGGTCACCGTCTTTGTCAACATGTCTGCCGGATTTTGAGCTCCACTAATCTTTTCAAGTTTCAAAATCCCATCTTCCAGAAGAGACCGGATAAAATGATACCGTAATTGTATATGCTTCGTCCTGGAATGGAAAGACAAATTCTTTGCTAGATGGATAACACTTTGACTGTCACAATACAAGACATTGTTTTCTTGTTTCTTGCCTAACTCTTCCAAGAAACTTTGGAGCCAAACCATCTCCTTGCTGGCTTCCGTAACAGCGACATATTTTGCTTTAGTTGTGGAGAGAGCAACTATCTTCTGTAGTTGAGAAACCCAACTCATTGCGGTTCCTCCTAGAGTATAGACATACCCTGTAGTGCTCATTCTAATGTCAACATTTTCGGATAAGTCAGCATCTACATAGCCTGTCAATATCGTATCTCCACTTTTGAAACAAAGTGCTTTGTTTGTGGTACCCCGTAGATATCTGAGGATCCATTTGACTGCTTCCCAGTGTACTTTGCCTGGATTATTCATGTACCTGCTAACAACTCCCACTGCTTGAGCAATATCTGGTCTGGTATAAACCATGTCATACATCAGACTTCCAATTGCTGAGGCATACGGCACCTTCACCATGTGTGCATGTTCTTCCTCCGTCTTTGGTGACTATTCTTTGGAGAGTCTAAAATGAACACCTAAAGGTGTACTTACTGGTTTAGCATCTTGCATGTTGAACCTGAAGAGTACTTTGTTGATGTACTCAGCTTGTGATAACATCAAAGTCCCCGACTTTGTGTCTCTCTTAATCCCCATCCCAAGAATCTGCTTTGCATCGCCCAGATATTTCATTGCAAACTGCTTTGATAATTTTCGCTTCAAGTTTATAATCTCTTGCATGTCTGAACCTGCAACGAGCATGTCATCAACGTACAACAATAAAATAATGAAGTTGTTGTCGAACTTCTTGATATAACAACAATGATCTGTTTGGTATCTGGTAAAACCACTGCTACCCATGAAACTATCAAACTTCTTGTACCACTGTCTAGTAGCTTGTTTTAAACCATACAAGCTCTTCTTCAACCTGCATACCAGATTTTTCTTTCCTGCCTCTATGAAGCCTTCTGGCTGCCTCATATAGATTTATTCCTT